ATGTAAAAATGTCCATGAACAATTGTGGCCCCGAAATGGTATTCTACAGACAGAAGTGATAATCATTATCATTCCTGTGTATATCGACAATCATACAACAATTGCAATATCAGTCAAAGTAATCACAATAGTTATGTTTTCAAGATTGTGAAGCACTTAAATGATACAAGTATTATTTACCAATCAAAACTCACATGTCACTATTAATATGGCATCAATTGCTTTTTCATGTTATGGGGCTATCCGCCAAGGCACCTTCGTCCCGGAGTTCTGAAGCAATGTTATCGTGACGTGCACATGGTAAACCCAGCTGTGTTTGGGGCTTGGGAGACTATTTTTTTCATTTTAGAGTTGTGCCATATCTGCCCCAGCAACAGACCACTAACTACCTGCCTTTCTGGGAGCTATACGGGAGTATATTTATGTGAATGAATGGTTCACTTAAGGATTGCCAGTCAGTACTGTAGCTCAGGTTGCCGATAGTGATCTAAGGCTAATACCCGCCTGTGGCGAAACTGTTTTCCACCGTGCCGAATTACACCTATTTGTTAAGTATGGCAGATGAATTTCGACTCCCATTTCAGATATTGGCAGTCATTTCTCATCATGTAATTACCGATGCAAGATGCACAAGATTCGAGGAAACCGCTGGCACAAATCGCCAGTAACTTGGCAACGGTTGGGTCGGTGTGCAGCCACTGTTAACAGAAATGGCCGAACTCTGTCTATCAATGGCTCTGCTTACTGCGCTTCCCAACTGCAAATAGGACTGTGAGCCTTCCAAAGGGTTATAATAGAATGGACAGGCAGCTGGTCCCCTTGGTTAAACATGAACAGGCTGCTCTTTGACAGGGCTGTCACCAACAGTCAGCGTAGGTCACACACAGCCAGCCTGGGCTCACTCTAATAGAGAGGCGGGTCTTATTAGGGACCCTAAAAGGTAGGTAGGTAAGTACCACTCAATTTTGAAACACTCACAAGTTATACCCTTTATCGAGCAATATTAGCAGGTTTGTGAGGTTTTAAACACAAAAACCAAGTAAAAAAAGGCATTATTCATCATTAGTTTTCACGTAATATTCATCCAAATTACTGTTGATGTTTTTGATATTTTCAAACTTTAACACGGAAAAAAGGGGAACAATAAGCATGTCCATCTGGGTGTTATGTTTCTGTCCCTGCCAATTGGAGCTGCTAATAAATAGTTGTGACTAATGCCATAATTTGTCCCAGAAATAAGTTTGTATCAGTTTTTGTTGAAAGAAGCTTTTAAAACCAAGTCAGACATTTGTGTATGAGGTGAAAAAAGACAACTTGGTAACTAGCATCGACAAAGAGAACAAAAACTCCATTATGGTGACACAAGTGAAAGGGAATTAATACCAAAAGTTTTTTTCACAGCTCTTCTGGCAATGAATCCAAGCCATCTAATGGAAGATACGCAAATGCTAGCATCTTTGAAGGCTGATAATGTATCTTGCCTGGAGCACACAGCCAGCCGTCTTCTCGCCAGCACAGTCAGTTAGCACCAATACTAAGCTGTCAGCACTACTGAGCAGCACCATGCTGAAAGGAAGGGTGTGTCCTTTTTTAAAGTGAGGCTAACCAGACATCAGGTGTCAGGCAAAGATAGAGAGAAAAAGGAAGAGTCGAAAACTCAAAGCGAAGATGTCAGAAGCAATTGAAAGGAGGAAGTGTTGAAAAGGCAGAAAATCAGAGACAGAAACTGAGGGTCACGGGCCACAAAGAAAATAGAAAACATCTTGCGTACAAAGAAAAGGTATTCCCCTACTAAAAACAAGTTATTGTATCAAACATAGGATCTTTATGCACATAATGTCCTACACATTCTCTAACATTCTGATCTCCTAGCCCATCCCATAGTGTATACACATATCTCAGCCTTTCAAACTAGAACAATGGTTGACCTTTGACTACTTTGCTATGTGGGCTGGTTTATGATGTTTAACCAGGAGAATGTCATCTTTATGCATCTTCTCCACAGGCACAAGCCAAACCTGTAGATACACATCTGGAATACTGGCAAGATGATAAATTGGTGGTTAGAGGTCGCCAAATTGGGTATGAATTTGGTGCACCTCATACCTTACCGCATTAACGCTTATCAGTCAGAAATCCTTTAATATTACCAGGGGGAAATTGGTCGAAACAACCTAATACTCGCACCCATAAACCAAAATATATATTTTTTAAAAGTACTGCCAATATAACTGAAATATTTAACAATGTTTCTCACTAAAAAGCTACGCAGGTTCTAGTTGCAACAATAGAATATCATCAAGTGATGCATAAGAAAATAAAATCTAATGATCACCATAAACATGTGTATGACTGTAGCATCGATAGACAAAGGGGCAAGATGTTGTTGATGTCTGTTTTCCATTTGTAGTCCAAGTAGTATTGACCAATTACGTTTGAGTGAGGTTTGTGTTGAAAGCAAAGAACGCATTGACCAAAATGATATCTCAAAATCATTGTTTGTTTTTTTTAAAATCTGCATTGAAAGATGACACAATCTGGTCTTGAACGAACTCTCTCAACTCCAACAACATTTTTGCTTCTCAAGTCGCTAATTGGACAGTAAACAATGACTGGCGCACAGAAGAGGAAGTCTTGGTCCAAATATGCGGATATCCACCGGCTAAATCAGAACCTGCCAAATATTGGCTGTTGTACTTTATCGTCGAAACACCTATTGACAAAAGGTGGTTTAGATTGTCAGATACAGCAAGCAATGTTGACCAAGAGCTTCTCAAACTGCAAGCTGTGTTCCAAGATTAAGGATCATTTAAATTGCTGGACACAAACATGAGGGTATATTAAATGTTGTTTCCAAACAATATCCACGCTTCAATTGAGCAAGTTACATTGGGATTTGGTGATACTATCAACAACCAATTTGCTCCTATTGGACCCCACTGACCTTTGCAAGCAGGTGCAGATTATCCCCATTACCCCAACTACACCTGTGTCTCCTCTGTCTTCCAGTATCCCTATCCCCTCCTCACTACTTCCCCTCACTTTTACAATCTGTTTTCTCTCTATGTTACACACACACACTTTTGCTGTACACCAAAGGGATGGCAGGTGCAGGTGCGCTGCTCAAGTAAACCAGGGCCATTGCCACAGGCAATTTAATCCTCACCAGCTGAGTCCATCCTCTCCAACAACTCAAGGCTTCTTTATTCGGGAATGCAAATAATTGAACAGTTAAATCCAGGATACGCATCAGCACACCATAAGAATTTATAATATACATATAAATAAATATGATTAAACTGGAAGTGACAAGTAAATGAGACTAAACTTTGCTCTGTCTATTTTAGTGAAGTTTAAGTGTAACCTTTATTAAAAAAAATCTTGACTCTTCTATCTTTACTCTTGCTGAGCCAAACATCCACTGTTGCAAAATAATACTCACTACCACAGCCTAGAATGGTGTCCCATATAAAACATGTGCAACATGGCAGTACTAATTCCGTAGATAAGTAATTCAGCTTCAGTATCCATCCGCCTCAGATAAGGTTTCCCAAATGTATTCAGGTCAAAGACATCCATTTTTAGGACCCCGATCTGCTTAGTTTTTTGTTTGTATGGATTCATTAAGAAATGGATACTGTCAAAACAACAGCTAATGTCTAATCTTACAGATTGAAAAATAATCTTTATAAATTACCCAGTGTGTCACGTGGGTAGGGGGTTTGAGGGCTTCTGGTGCCAGATCCCCCCCCCCCCCTCACTCTTAGGGCTGCTGATTTTTAGAGAAAACTGAACCCAGCTACTGGACTTCATTCACAAGTCCTTCCTCTGCTGCACCTTGCTGAGATCCCATTCAGAACCAATCGTTTTGCAGTTGAGATGGAGAAGAAAGAGCCAAGGAGGGAGGGAAAGAGGCTAGACAAAGTGGACAGAGCAGGGTCCATATGATCTCAGCAGCGGCAACAGACTGGCGAGCAGCAGGCGGCGGAGGAACCGACTGCGACCCAAAAGATGTGGCACGGATGGTGGAGGATTACGTCATCAAAAAAAAAAGGAGGACGCTTCATCCCAGCAAACCATCACATCCATTACTTCACACCACATAGTTCAGCAAACATAGGTCGTTTTTCATCATTAAGGTTGCAAGAAAAGGGATAATGATTGATACATATGCAACAAAAAGAAGGGTCACAAAAAACAGCTTATCCATATATATGTATGGGCCCTCTCGTGGGACATTTCTAGAATGTGATTGTGACATGATGAGAGGTTGTGACAAACGGTGGTGTACCCATCATTTAACAATGAATGACAAAACTCTGCATGGATTTTATTCGAAGCATCTGTTTTGGCTATATCTATGTATGGGGTAAAAGAAACATATTCGCCCAGTCAAACAACACTACCGAGCGAATCACTCAATAAGCACTAATGAATAGCTTTTAGATACGATAAAGGAATGCCCTCTTTAAAGCCACATCCGTAACACAACCGACGCCGGGCTAGTTCCATTCAACGCCAACTGGACTCTGTCATTAAAGGGCTTATTGTACTGTATAATGAATGAGCTATTAAGGGCCTATTTAACTCAATTATATTGCCGAATGGAGTGAAGTTTTATTAATGCAATGAAACTATAAATGCATACCAATACTGCGCGCAATGCATTAGCGACTGTTTTGCAGCTCAAGTAAGCAGCGAGATATTGAATGGGCTGAGGAGCAGCTAGCTAACAAGCAAGCTACACAACCTCTGGCTACTAACGTTATGGAATCAAATGTATATTTTGTTTCTTTTTGCGAGGTCCAACTTTAGCAGACATATGTGTAATGCTAAAACGGGACATTTTTAGAAGCCTTGTTCCAATGTTAGTTCGCAATAAAGCCCGTTTTAGCTGTGCAGGGAGCAACTTGGATAAAAGTGACAGCGCTAAGCTAACGTGTGCTAGCTAACGTCAGCTGGCTGTAGAAGCTGGTGGCCTGTGAATGGGTCTTTCTTACCGTCATAAACTGCTCCAGGGGCGTCCAGTTTTTAAGGAATATATGTTTTGCCTTATGAGGAAATGTTTTGTGAATGGGCGATATAGCCCGAACATCCAAGATCAGTTGACCCGCTGCCGATGAAACCCGAGCATCATCACTATCACCGTCTTCATCAGTACTGGGAGTCCGGCGCTGCTTCACACACATCCATCCAGCAGAGCGGGGCCTCCTCCGGGCTCGACCATGCGACTGGCTGGGCGACGACGGATAATCCACAAGACAGGAGCCCCCGCAGTAACCATTGGCTAGACACGGCGACTAGCAGTCATTTCAGGTCGACAGAATGCAAAATATATTCCCACGGATACGTAAAATTGAAGAAAATATGTTCACCGAAAAGGTAACAATTGAACAACTTGAATCGTAAAATCACAAAATAGGCAAATGTTCCGTTTCTGACTTTCCTAACATGAGCCTCTCCGTTGTTGTCAGCGTCCCCTGGTCTCTGCAGCTGCTTTGCCTGCCTGCCTGCCTGCCTGCCTTGCAGCACAGCAGCGATCAGCAGAGCGACGTAATGGCGCAAACCGAGCGCACAGGGGCGGGGCCACAGAGAGGGAGGCGCGCTGTTTGTTTCTGAACGCACCCAGGTAGATCTGTGCCAGAATATAATCCTAAATATTCCCACATTTAAATCCATTGAGACCATTTAAAAAGATCACAATGATAGTTATTGATTTTTGTAATCGAATTTTGCTGCCAAAACATGTGCATTATTTGACCACTGGTATTAAGAGCAGCAAAAGTTTATAACCTGGTGTATAGAATGTTACTTTATCTTAATATGCTCAGCAACATATATGTGTACATTCAATTATGTTGCAGCGCATGTCAATTATGTGTATTGTATTGCTGATTGAAGAAATTATTTAGTTTTTCCACATGATGTATAAATAAAAAAAAAAAAAACAGACATCATAAAGCTGTTATTTGCTGGTGCACATCCAGTAACTGCCATCCAAATAATTAATACAAAAATAGGTGTATAAAAATAGCAGTTTGCCCATATTCTAATGTGTATTGTGAGATCATTCTGCATACTTTGAATGTATTCTGTTAATATGTTTGTGAATAGCTCAAAAGATAACAATATAGTACAGTCAAAAATAATTGCATTGTTAAAGACACCAGAATGGAATATTATTAGAAAAATAAAGGATTTCATGTTTAAAAAAATTACTTGAATTCCATCTTTAAAGAGTCTTGTCCTTACATGAAACCTTTTTCAGAAGTCATTGTATGACTTTCAGTCATTGCAGTTATTATGAAAATACCTTTTTTAGTTTGTCCTCATTCACTTCAAGTCCAAGCTTGTTCATTCAGACCATATGAATCTGTAGCCCTGCCATTCACAGAACACTGTGAAAGAAAGAGAGAAATAAACTAAAGTAAGTGAGAGCGTGGTAATGTGGGCTGTACTGACCTCAAGTGGCTTGCAAAAGAAATAGCCTACAAAGCAGCTAACAATGGCCCATTATACAGTAACACTGTTGGGCATACAATGGAGTAAGCAGATGAAGCGGAGTGCTGAAAACAAGACAATGAGCCCAGTGTTGGTGATATGCATATCCCAAAAGCCACCTTGTACTCGGGGAATTGATGCAGTACTGTAGACCTAAAAACCCACTCTGTTTTTTTTTAGCTATGGTTTTATTGTTTATTTCTTTACTAGGATTTAAATATAGTATGACCTAATGATAAAAGGGTTTCCTTCGGGGGGGAAATGCTGGAGGAAGAATTTACTTGAAGAATGCAGGGTGCCAAGGCCCACAATGTGCTGCATAATCACAGATCTACAAATTATGCATCTTGCTCAAAGGCACGTCAGAAAACACTAAACCCTAGCTGTCCTGATTTAGGAACAGTCACTCATCTCCACCACTGAATGCTTTTTATATCCAGATGTTGTCATAATATGCTTCTTCAAGTTTTGATTCCTTGACCCTTTAAAGAAAAACAGTGGATCCCACTTAGTGCTTCTAAGGCAGAGTCTACCTCAGGACAATGATGTAAAACGTCAGTGTGTGTCGATGTACAACACTATTCATTATATGCGTTTATATTTAGCTCAGTCCACAGGGTACTAGATTGGAACTGTAATTAAAACAGCAGCGTATCTGAACCTTGTTAATATGCAGACAGACGACCTAAGGGGACTCGGGTGCAATATGAGTTCTGAGGCTCAATAAGCTGCATATTAAGATTATTATCGCTAAACAAATTAGCGACGACCATGCAAATCATGTGAGAGTACATCCAGTGTTACCCTCTTTAAATGTTATTTGAGGCCTGACCGTGAGAGGAATACAATAACGCTGCTGTACAGTGAACTCAATTAGATTGATGAACAGGAATAATAGATGGTAATAGAGCACAGGAAAGACATACAAATGCATTTCTTGGAGATTAACTAGGAAAGTACTGCAACCATTTTCATGATGTCTTCTTTAATTATGCATATTATTTTATTTATTTTATATTCATAAAATGACTTTTTTTTTATCGTTTTCTCTCTTGATCTCTCTTACTCTTGCTCCCTCTCTCCTCTACCCTTAAAAGAAAAACAAAATTAATGGTATATCTGTATCAATGTATCAAAGATAATATATATTCAAGAATGTCTCTATATGTGATGTCAGGGAGGCGTGTGGTGCAGTGGGTTGTGCGTTGGTGTTCGGATCAGGGGGTCACAGGTTCAAACCCCACTGCAGTCAGCATGTCGTTGTGTCCCTGGGCAAGACACTTCACCCCAAATTGCTCCTGTGGGGATTGTCCACAGTATTGACTATGTATGTCGCTTTGGATCAAAGCGTCTAACAAGTGACATGTAATGTTATGTGATACTTAACGCAGTTATGCCCGAAAGGGGCCCTTTTATGCAAATGTTCAGAGTTCATACTTATATTTTTTGCCTCTACTGTGACAAGTTTAATTGCTTTAATGTTGAAAAAGCTCTTTATTTTTCTCATACTGCCTGTGCTGCAGCACCTCTTTTCACCCTCTGTCTCAAACCAGAGCCCAGTCAGCTCACATAAAGCACAATAGGGCTCCTTTAATAGTACAGATCTTCTACCTTTATGTAAGAATCCAACGTATTTTCCACCCCCTGCCATTCATTGTGGAACTAAAGAATGCTTCTGGTTATTCAACACAAGTCACTAACAATGCCATTTCTCTGCAGGCAGTTCAAACATTGAGCTGAGCTGCTAAACACTTCAAACTAAAGAGCAAATCCTTGAGTTTGTTTAGAAATGTGGGCCAATGATGAAGATCTGCAAAATGAAACCCCTGGTGTTGCATTGACGTGTAAAGAGTTCAATTTTGAGAACAGATCAACTGATTCTAGAATGAGAAGAGAAAAAAAAAAACATATTGCATCACATGCTCTGAATAGGGTTCAAAAATGTTTATTTGTACAGTGGAAAACCTTTCTTTTGTTTCATAGATTAGCCACTAAACAGTGGACACCTCAGCACATGTGGGATTCAGGTGACATCCATTCCCGCCTCCCATTTATTTTCAAGCGTTCTCCTCCACCAGCAGTTTGAGGATCCCCTGCCTCCTGGCTGTGTACGGAGTTTGATTGAGCTGAAGGAGATTGGCAGGAAACAAGTTCCCACTGGGACTGTACATCTCCACTCCCTTCTGCCCCATCAGGGAGCGCAGCGTCTGGTTTCTGGACAGCATCTTATCGTAAAACTCCACCCCTCCTTGGGCGTAAACGCGTGACACTCCTGCCGCTCTCCGGTCCGAGCTGTAGTCACTCCAGCTGCGCACCGAATCAGAGGCCAGGAAGAAGGACACGGCCCCAAGTCCCAACGCCAGAATGTTCACACCACCGCGGAACAACAGAGACCGAAAATGCTGCTTCATTAGCACACTGGACACCCAAACCCCCCCCAGGCAGACTGGGGCGACAGCGGCGTTCAAGACGGGGCCCGCGGACTGCAAGCGGGCCACTTCACGTGCTATGGCGAACTTCTGCGCATCGAGGGACAGCACCAGCGCCTCCTGTAGAGCAGAGCCGACCTCGCTGCTCCAGTCCACCACTTTGCCGTTGATGAAGATGGTGCGGTTGGTGATTCCTTTCGAGTCATCCGACGTGCTGTTGAAGTTGGCCGGGATGCCAATTTGTGCCCCGACAGGAAGCCAAGGGACCCCAGCGCCAACAGGATGGAACCCATAGGAGGCGAAGGCGGAGAAATTGTCAGGTGAGCTGATACCGTAGTCCTTTAACACCTATGAATGACAACATTGGAATTTTGTGTTAAAAAAGCAATTATTTGTACATTATAATGATATGAAGGAAATAAAGGTCATTTTACTGCCACTAGGCGTGCCGCAATAAAAAAAATAACAAAAAGATCCCAGTTAGGAATCCATTGTTTTTATTTGTCATTTGTTTTACCCGCGGTTAATTTATCTCCAAAATAAACAGACCCAGTGTTGGAAACCATTTAAATTGAATAGAGTAGTTTTGAGTTTAACATTTGATGAAATACGAGCTAATCACTAAAATGTTCTTAGCTTGTTTCCTGATGACAAGTTGTAAAATAGTGTAGCCCCCAGATATGGCTAGAAACTGGAAAAAATGTAAGTTTCCTTTCCATAATATCCGTCCATTACAGGCAACCAAAAACGCACCATACCTTTGTTTAAAATGATAGTATAGAATAATGTTAGGATACACTCATAAGATATATCACATGGATGTAGTCATTTTTAGATATTTTCACGTGGAAATATGATATTATATCTTTAATATTGTAGATCGCACAAACTCTTAATGTATTGTTTTGTGAATTAAATATTTTGAGTGAGTTGTGATTAAATATTACAAAATGTAATTAAACCGCTCATCATTGTGAGTGCTTAAATGTATTGAAATAAAGGTTTGTATCTCTTTTTTTTTACTAGCATCAACTGACATAACAGTAATTGCTTGATTGTTGATTTGAATAGTTCAATAGTTGGCATTACAGGGAACATCTAGATGTAATTAGGTCGTCTTTAACATCTGCACCATTTGCAACTAATTGTACCATTCTACTTAAGTTGACATCTTCTGTTATTGATTGTTGAGATGACCCAAGAAATAAAAAGTCCATGATAATGTTAAGATAAATAAATGAATTGGACAACTCTTCCTACCTGCTGGAAAACATCCTGGAGCTTTTCAGACATAGTGACCGGCTCTCCTTTGGAATAGGCCTGATAGAGCTGCCGGTAGGTCATGTCGGGGAACATGTGGTAGAACATGTTGGCGCCAAAGACCCCCCCACAGCTCGTGATGAGCAGCGGAGTCCTGTACTTCTCGAGAAGCACCGCATACTTGAGAATACGAGACGCCATGTCGCCTCTTTGCTTTCAACTCAGTCAGTTATGTTCTGTAGACTTCAGCAGGAGGCATCTGTGAAGGAGGTAGACCACATGTTTATGAGTAAAGAGCTGCGTGTTTTGATAGATATGCTAATTTAATACAATAGAAAGTAGGGCTTCAGAAATATTCAAATTTCTCTCGATTTTGGCTCCCCACAATTTTATGAACTAAGATATTGATAATTTAAAGTGGACCTATTATGCTATATTGGAAAAATATATTGTAGGGCCATACCTATACAAAACATGTCTGTGAAGTGTTTTGCTTAAAATACCAAACAGATCATCCATTGTAGCCATGCCTCATACTGCTCATACCCCTCTTTTGCAGCACTGTTTAAGAAACGCAGATTTTGGAGGCGGAGCTAATGCCTGATCAGAATTCTACCGAAGATAAAGTAAAATTCTGCTGTGATAAAACGCCATCCTGTTCTAAACCACATCAAAGATTATTTCTGAAATAGTATGGAGCTCAAATGCTTTTTCTCTTGCAGGTTTATCACAAGGTGAGTTCCTTATTTTATTTCCTGCTTTTTAAACACATGTGCTCTACAGTACAGGTTAGCTCTGAGTGTTAGCGAGGCTTGCTAATGTAAACAAAGACGAGATTACGTCCAAAAACGTCAGGCATTGTTTCTGATAGCAATTTTCTGTGGGTCCGCTGCCGATTTGACGTCAGATCGGCAGCAAATCTGTATCCGCTCGTTGTACCCCTGTTTTTAAAAGATTTGGGTACGGAGGAAAAGAGAGAGGGTTTTATTTTCTGACGCTGCGTGAGTTCCCCGACGCACCGGGGACACATATTTATGTATAAAAGACATCACAAAGTGCATTTTGCATGATAGGTCCCCTTTAAATGTGTGCTCCGCTCATAGAAAACGTTCATGTTGTACTCCAGTGAAGAACAGTTTTATACAACATATGGCATGACAAAGATTTGTACATTAGCATGAATGTACGAAGTGTAACATGAAAGTCAGAGGAGTGCTCTGATTTAATAAATGACATTTTATTAAATATTCTGTACTTAAAATTAATTACCTGAAAATAAAAACTCAAGTAAGGTACATAAAAATTCGACTAAAGAACAACACTTATTGTAACTTAAAGTGGACCTATCATGCTATATTTAAATGATATATTGTAGGGCCATACCTATATAAGGTATATTTATACGTTTCTGTTTTCAAAACACCAAACAGATCATGCATTTCAGCCATGCCTCATTTCGCTCTATGTGCTGTTTGCTGTCTACGGGGCTGATTCTGTGAGACCACGCCCCCCTGCAGGAGAGGGTAGCCGTGCTCTGATCAAGTCAAGAGGGGGAGAAAAAAAGATCTCCGTCCTCCGTGTTTTATTTATATATACAGTCTATGGTTTTATTATATTATTATAGGCCTATAGAGTCGTTATTCATTTGTTTTAAAGCTCAATAAATAACAAAGAAGACCTTTGACCGGCACTTTTCTAATTTTGTCCGGAAGATTTTAACTTTAACGGACATCTTGACCGGCGAAAGAAACTGAAACTCTGCCGCACGGTCCCCTCGTTCCTTGGAAGAGGCGGAGAGGTGGGTGTTTGTCATCTGCTGGTGGACTAACCGGAGAGAATTACAGTGCTTGCCTCGACGGGGAGGGATTGCATTGAATTAAAGCAGCGGGAGCAAACGCTTGCCTCGGGGAGGGAGAAAAAAAAAACACAGCGGAGAATAAACAGAAGGGTAACCATGGTTACCATATGCGCGGGAAGTCTTCTTCGCTGCTTTTGTGGCAGACTACAGCGCCACTTACAGGCCTGGCATATGTACTACAGTGTCTCCAGCGCTTTCGAGCGGCAATGGCCGGCCGTGGCCCAACCCCACATTCCCCTGATAGGTGGAGAGTTGGCCCAATAGCCGTAGCGCCACTTCTGTGACGTCATAGAAGTGTTCAAATCTGGATCAGTTTTTATCAGATCCGTTGCAGCCCCTTTTTTAGAGATTTGGGTATGGAGGAAAATAGAGAGGGTTGTGTTTTCTGACACTTGGTGAGTTCCCTGGAACACCGGGGACACATATTCATGTATAAAAGACGTACAAAAGTGCATTTTGCATGATAGGTCCCCTTTAATGCAGTACCTTCACCCTAGAGCAAAAATGGTGCATTCAGTGTTGTTCTTTAGTCGTATTTTAAGCTTAACTTGATTTGACTTTCTTTTATTTTCATGCAGCGTCATATTTCTACTCCATTACAATTATCCGATAGCTATATTTACTTCAAAATCCTTTAGTTACTTTACAAATGTGGTTTTTAACATATAAATCACATGGTTTAACATGTACATAATTGTTAAAATCATATTTCATGCAAAAACATTTAATTGTTCCAACTTTTCATGTGAGAATATTTGCTGATTTCCCATGAAATTATTTAATATATTAATTTACTTGTTTTATTTTTTTAAAGGGGACCTATCATGCAAAATGCACTTTTGTACGTCTTTTATACATGAATATGTGTCCCCGGTGTTCCAGGGAACTCACCAAGTGTCAGAAAACACAACCCTCTCTATTTTCCTCCATACCCAAATCTCTAAAAAAAAGGGGCTGCAACGGATCTGATAAAAACTGATCCAGATTTGAACACTGTCCTGACGTCAGGACAGTGGCGCTACGGCTATTGGGCCAACTCCACCCATCAGGAGGAGACAGCCACGGCCATTGCCGTTCGAAAGCGCTGGAGACGCTGTAGTACATATGCCAGGCCAGTAGATGGTGCTGTTCTCACAGAATCTGCCCTTGCAAAAACAGAGCTAGAAATTGTCAAATTGAGCAAAATGAGGCATGGCTAAAATGCATGATCTGTTTGGTATTTTGAAAAAAAAAAAGTATAAATATGCCTTATATAGGTATGGTCCTACACTATATTATTCAAATATAGCATGATAGGTCCACTTTAAGGTATGTACTTTTGTAACTTGGAATTCTGGGAAATTGTGACAGCATTTTACACTTTCTGTTTTTTTACAAACCCATGAGATCTACCTCAACCATTTACACCAGTACAATCCTGCTTTTACATTCATGCACGAGTAATATTAACCTAATAATATACTACATATTAGTACAACAGTTATAAGGGGCATTTTCTGCATCTTTCCTTTAAGGATCTGGTTATTAAAGTGTAAAATGTTGCTAGCAGCAGTGGCGAATTGAAGATAGCATTACACCCAATACAACTGATTAGTTATAGGGATTTAACGTCTCTAAAAACAGGAGAAAACACCAGAAACATGCCCCAGAGGCCTGTACTACGAAGCTGGTTCAACCTAACCTGGATATGTTTGAGTTAGCCGGTTGGCCCAATCCAAAACATACGCGCTCTCGCTAAACTGTACTACGACGCTGGTTATCAAGTGGATCGCTCAAGCCAGCCGTGTCCTATCTAGTTAGGTGCGCGTTCACATGAAAGGGGTGGTATTTGGAGCATTCGACCAATCTCAAACATGGACAAGCGTACTGACAGCGCAGCGTCATACTTCCTGAATGAAAAGTGAACTTTAATATTAGTCAAATATGAAGATGTTAAACTTTAAACATCCATGACTTAAACATTTTATCCAGGATAAAAGCCACATAGCTGCACCTGCAAGGTGAATACAGCTGGTAAAAGAAAAAGCGTTTGAATGCGTACATTAACAGGTTTATGATATCACTGAACAAGACACGAGTGGATCTGACTTTAATTACATTTGACTCGAGTGTTTCGTCAACTTAATGTGTTGCTTAAAATAATACTTCTGCATACAGTATGTGACACTGAGTGTTGCACGGCCAGATACGGCTCAAGAAGCTGACTCAGATAAGGAAATATATGATACATTATGACATGGGCGTCGCAGCCATTATATGAGGGTGGGACAAGTCCCCCCCACTTTTTCAAATGATTAGTTTAGACCCCCCCCACTTTTACTATGCGGAAAGTCCGTGAATCGGTCTATCCACTCGCCGCACTTTGTAGAGCGCTGTGTCAGTGCTTCACGATCAAATGAAATCCATTCCACTTGCTTATTGAGAGAATGCCCAAATCAATGAAACTCCGTATCATGTTTTCACTGCTACTTTGTACCAAGGCAGATTCTCACATAGCGAGCCCATGTTCAAGGAGTGTTGTCATAGTTGGACAGCTCAGATCTGTTGTATGAAGCGATGCCGGTAGCGGAACACACACCAAATGTTCAGGAAATGGTTAATACAGCGAAAATCAAAGCTGACGATCTCTTGGTTTGATATGTTTTCTCCCCCAGACAACATGGACATAAGAACATTTTTTTCAAAGAAGAGGAAAGTAAGTCATCAGCTGGTAGCAGTTAATCAGTTAACAGTGATGGCGGCGTCTCACTTCTGGAGAGGAGTTTCGTCTTTATGTCATGATAGAGAGATACAAATACTGAATAGTTTAGATGAGAAAAGGCATCGAAATGCCAGGTTACTAGTATTTATCATATAAACAGGGAACATGAATAACCCGATCTCTCTGTGCTCATGTAAACACCATATCCCCAATATGATCATAACCGGGATAATACTCATTAACGGCTTACTGATGTCCATGTAGAGACGCAGTCAGTGTGTTTTACTGGAGCCTCAGTTCGATAAGAGATTATTTTCTGAGTTCTTTAATTTAGGTACTCTCTCTCAAAATGGTAATGTGCATTATGTTTTAATTATACTTCTTATCATTCAGAAGCTTTTTGTGTGTGTTTACAGTATGTTTTACTGAGTGCTTATAGGCTATTTCCATCCCAGTATTCAGTTAACTATTTATTTTCTGTGCACATTACATAGACTAGCTAATATTCTACCTACTGCTTGGGACTTTGAGTCTTCAAAATGTCCAATGTCACAGACTGGGACTTACTTTAGAGTCAGTTGTATTTACATTCAGTATGACTTGTTATGATTCAATGTGAAAGAGTATACTGCTCAATAAATAATGATCACTTCACCACCTCTCTTGACATCTAGGCACTTGAGAGTGAGTCAGAGGCAGAATACAGGGACAGTGGAGAGAGGTCCATTGCTGAGGTGAGTGATGAAAGGGAAATGACAGTTGAGAGTAAATTGTGATGTGGACTCTCATCCCAGGATTTTAAGGAAATCAGTGGGGATATTGAACAGGAAACATTTCAGTCAAGGGGCATCATATGACCAATAGAGACAGAAGAGCAACATTTATTTGAACATTTAAGTCAATGATACCATTCCTAGGTGAACTTAACATCCGTATGGAGTCAGATCAGTCTCAATATTAATAAATGCTCACAGAAGGATTCACAAATGTATTTTGCGATTTATATATAAATGACTCTCCACAACAATATCTCTCAATGCACTCACAAATATTTATTGTTGTATATAAATGTACAAAAAATGGGCATTTAAACTGCTTTTTATTAATTCAAAGACAGCTCTGAATTAATAATCAAATATGTTTCCTTTCTTTACTACTGGATGAAATTACAAAATGTACCCATCATTTTCCTCATGCTAGTATAGCCACATAAAAGTATCAAACCACCTGTTAAAATGCACCAGAATACAGGAAATCTATTTTTTTTTTTTTCGCCCCCACACCCCCCGTTAAAAATGTCCCCCCCACATTCAGGATGCTTCCTACGCCCATGCATTATGATGTGATATGATATGAATGATAATGGGACACATCGACGTCTGCACTCACAGTGCCGCGGACTGTACTTAATGTTACTCTGATCCGGTTACTTATGTTGTGGCAGATATTTAAGTAAGCTTTCTTAACGCTAATGTTATAATAGTCAGATTGCTCTGAAGATGGGAGGGGATATTCTATTAATTTTCACGTTCACAGTCAGTTGATTTCTGCCGGCCGTCTTTCCTGCAACGGCAGTTTTTCTGTATTTTTTTCCTCTATCCTGTAATATGACTTGATCGCTTTAAACTCCGCACACGGAGCTCTGATTGGTCAGCAGGCGGTGCTTTCACTGAGTTGATCTCTTAAGTAACCTTAGCTTACTATCTTCCTACTGTAATGATGTGCTTTAACGGCAGCTCACTAAATGAAAACCCAAAAGGCTATAAAATAACATGTAATGTCTTCATAGCATACAAACAATGTCTTATTTACACTCACATGTTCTCCACATCTTTGCAAGGGCAGCTAACAGGTTAGATGAGGATAGAAAATCCCACCCGTAAAGCGGTTTAGCTGTCGTAACGGTGCTGCACGACAGTTTTACGACAGTGGATCTTTAAGTAAACTACGCTCTTTAAAGGCCTTTTTACTATATATAAGTGTCCATGAGCTTTCAGACAGCTGTATTCACACGGAGAATAATGCAGAATAATGAATAAGATATATTAAAAATATATGATAGATTTCTTGTTTCTTGAATTAGAATCAAATGAATATTGATGTTTGTTTATGTTTGAGCATTAAATCCTAGCAACAGTAATGCACAACTAATTACCATTGATATGAAGGCATTGTAAATAAATAGGGATTTAGTTGTAAAAGATTAACTGTATTTGGTTAGGGAATGATCTTTTCATGTAAACCACATATTCATATGTAGGTTATGATTTAAAAAAGAACCTGGGCTGTAGGAGAAAGGAGAAGTTCTCCTGCATTGAACAGCAGAGCATCATTCTCTCACAATCTGAATGCCCAAGAGTTTCCATTGTAAAGATGGAAAGGAAGAAGAACTAGCCGCAACTATTTAAATCTCTGCTTAGTCATGATTGCATGTGCTGCTGACGTTTTTCACGTGATGTAAATTTAGGATCAGTCTAAAACATGCCTCAAGGGTCATTGTCCTTCAATCCAAATAAATGTAAACTGTTTATGAGAGCACAGTTATAAAATCATGCTGATGGCACATTGCGAAATGTAGGCCTACTCAATGTCTGACTTCGAGATGAATTTTAAAACTTTTTGGAGGTTATACAAAGTTGAACTTTAACCTTCTAATGAGGCGGTTGTCATCCAAAAATGAGATTAAGGAACCACATTCTTGACTTTTTCAGTCAAATTGAAGTTGCCTTCGTCTTTTTTAAATTGATTCCAATGGGAACAGAGCGCCTAACCTAAGACATTGTGCTTTTTGATTATGGATGAAGCACTGAGTTTAGATAAGTGAATATTGTACCTCAATCGCAATTTTGTGATGAGTACATTTTTGAATAAAATATAAGATATTGAAAAATGATGAAACTGAAATGTTCAGGAAAAAAAATCTCATTTAGGGTTGGTTCATCAGTATTTGTATTATTATTTATATAGTTGTATATTATATTAAATAATAAAAAAAACATTTAAATAAAAATGTAAAAATAATACTCTAATTGTCCAGGTTTTAATAAAGTACTACCCATTCTGAATCTGTGGTGACTTATTGATAAAATAGTAGTAATAGAAATAAAAAAGGTAGAACAATAATTCTACCAAAAAATTCAAACATTATAACAACAGTTGGAAAATAGACAATAAAGGAAATAATACATATTACAAAAATAAGGAACAAATCTCACTAATATGAAGTTAAAGCTGCTCTCCCCTCCCTCACTTTTTGTAACCACGGCTGTCATCATTGTGTGTGTTGCATAAATGGCAACAGTTCATTACAGCCCCTTTTCATATGTTCTATTCTCAAAGAACAACTGCGGTGTGTTGTTCCACATTTCTCTAGATCCATACTACGCAGATGCAAATTAGAAAAAGGGGAAGGGGTGAGCGTGTGTGCGGCTGCTGCTGATCTGTAATGATGTGTGATTCCTTTGAGGAGCTCTGAGACGTGGCTGCATGCCCGTGAGCTGTTTGTACATTTTTAATGGTGTAGCTGAGCTTGGCGCTTATGCACAGGATGCAAATGAAAGCTGGGACCATGCAGGTACACAAAACAGCTGATTTCCATCCTATTACTGTCTGTGTATGGTGGTGGTTTCTTGAGGAGGAAGTGAAAGTTGTGCAGTTGCTTAGACAGTAAAAAATGTTTAATATTTCAGACTTCCTCATCCTGTGATGACGTATAACAAGCTATGTGAGATCACAAAGTGTAACGATGAAACAGTACAAATGTTTATCATCAGTACAGGACTTTTGCTAGTCAAGTGTAAAGGGGTTCAGAAACACCTTTTTGTAAGAATGTTTGTAGATTACAGCCCAGCAACACATTTAGCATTTTCAGTCTAATAAATCTAATCCTGTAGACAAAAAGGCTAAAGTATAGTACTTTTTGTTACTTGATAACAACGGACTGAGCAAGTGACCACTATTTTGAACCAGTACATGTTTTGTTCACACAATTCCCCCCCCCCCCCCACCTTTTAAATGTATTTTAGACAAAAAGTCGTTTTCTATTTTACTGTTTCTATTATAATATAAAATAAACCTTTCCGTGAGGATAATTTTTTTTTTCAGCACTTTAACTGTAAAATAAAGTAATCAAACAATGTATTATAGTAGTCGACTATATTTTCCATACAAACATGTGGTTAAAGGGGCTGTGAGACATAACATAATGTAGTATAAAATGCTCAATTATGATGAGATACAGGTATGAGATACAGTGGAGTAAGTATAAGTATTTGATCCCCTGCAGATTTTGTAAGTTTACCCACTTACAACTTACAAAGAAATGAACAGTCTGTAATTTTAATGGTAGGTTCATATGAACAGTGAGAGTAAGAATATCAAAAAGAAAATGCAGAAATTGACATTATATAAAAGATAAAAATAGATTTGCATTTAACTGTGGGAAATAAGTATTTGATTTGCAAAACATGTCTTAGTGCTTGGTGGAGAAACCCTTGTTGGACAGACAGAGGTCAGACGCTTCTTGTAGTTGGTCTCCAGGTTTGTGAACATCTCAGGAAGGATTTTGGTCCACAAATCCTGAAGGTTTTGAGGCTGATGCTTGGCATCTCGAAGATTCAGCTCCCTCCACAGATTTTCTATGGGATTAAGGTCCGGAGACTGGCTAGGCCCCTCCATCACCTAAATATGCTTCTTCTTTAGTCACTCCTTTGTTGCTTTGGCCCAGCGACGTGCAGTCAGGGGAGGCAGGGGAGGCATAGCCTCACCTGTCATACTCCAATGTAACGGAAAAACAACTAAAGAAAAACGAAATAGTAATAATAATAAAATGTCTCCACTGATCTGTGTTGTAAGTGTGATTTATGTATGATTCCAATCGCTTTTAATAGTCAAAATCAGCTAATTTGCCGAGCTCCGCTACGGGAGCGATGAGAAGTGAGGCAGGGACCAGCTCTGCCTCTCGTAAGCCCACAGTAACTTGCTGGAGCACGGGCACTAATTTAGCGCGGGCACTTATTTTGTGAGCGCGCTCAAGCCAGTTACTGTGGGGTGAGGTGAGGCACAGATGAGCTCTGCCTCACCTCAGAATGCGTCACCCCCACAGAAACTGGCTGGAAAGCGGGCCCTAAGCGCATGCCTGTTACCATCTCACTGTAGGTCACCAATGTAATGTTTGTAGATCCCTTTATTACATTTATCCTCGCCATCCATAGTCTCTAAATAACTTATTTCACGTATATATGATATTTAGGCTCGCTGGTCTCATCATACAACGGCAATGAAGAAAGCACCAGGGGAGGCAGCCATAACCTCTGCCGCACTGAAGGGGGCGCACGTGAGCCCACAGGTTCTTGTTGCTACTGTTATTCTACGCAGAGATGGTAGACGCAAACAACAAACTAGACTACTTTTGAAACTAGAGGAAGATAAGGAGGACTTTTACAAAACAGTAATAGAGATTGTTGTCCAGAAGGATAGCATGGACTTCATCTTCAAGTCAAGGTAAGACCACATTTGTAATGAAAATGGGATCTTACTAAGAAAGAACAATCCAATATTTAGATTTTGGGTATCCTTTTGTTGAACGGTCTGTTTAAAATGAATCGAAGCATCAGACTAAAAAAGCTTTTGAAAATAACTGAATATTTCGATTAAGGTCAAAATATAATATTTGTAAATCTGACTCAGTGAGTCAGTGCCTCACCAGCCATGAACCTCACCGCACGTCACTGCTTTGGCCGTATGTTCAGGTTTATTTTCCTGCTGGAAGACCCATCCATGATTCATTTTCAGTGTCCTGGCTGAGGGAAGGAGGCTATCGGCCAAGATTTTACGGTACACAGCCCTGTACATCCTCTCCTCGATGCAGGGAAGTCGTCCTGTCCCCTTAGCAGAGAAACACCCCCAAAGCATAATGTTTCCACCTCAATGCTTGACGGTGAGGATGGTGTTCTGGGGGTTATAGTCAGCATCTCTCTTCCTCCAAACATGATGGTCGAGTTGATGCCAAAGATCAACATTTTGGTCTCATCTGACCACATCATCTTCTCCCAAGCCTTCTCTGAATTATTCAGATGTTCATTGGCAACTTTCAGACGGTTTATTCATGTGCCTTCTTGAGCAGGGGGGCCTTGTGGCGCTGCAGGATTTGATCCATTATGGTGTAGTGTGTTACCAATGGTAACTGTGGTCCCAGCTGCCTTGAGATCATTAACAAGTTCCTCCCGTTTAGTTCTTGGCTGATCCCTCACCTTTCTCATGATCACCAATACCCCACGGGGCGAGATCTTGTGTGGAGCCCCAGACCGAGGGTGATTAATGCTCATTTTGTGTTACTTCCATTTATAAACACACACATTATTCTTCTGAATAATCGCACCAACAGTTGTCTCGTTCTCACCAAGCTGCTTTCTGATGGTCTTGTAGTCATTTCCAGCCTTGTGCCTCTACAGTCTTCTCTCTGAGGTCCTTAGACAGCTCTATGGAGCTAATTTCCTGCCATAACTCCACAAACAAACTAAACAGGTTTTACAAATGCCTTATGATTCACTAACAAACACAATGTGGTTTGCAAATACAAAACACCATCTACAAACTAATGAATTTAGTTTTGCAAAGAAAAAACGTATCTATCAAACAAACACATAACATTTTTCTAATAAATCATGTTTCAGAGACAAATTCAGCTTAGGTTTTACAAGTACACAACTTTTTTTTACAAGTGCACAAATTTGTTTTACAACTACAACACTTTGTTTTACAACTACAAAACTTTTTTTTACAAGTACAAAACTTTTTCTTCTCACGGCGGAATATTACTGCCAAAAGTCACGTGAGTGAGTCACGTGACTTTTGGCAGTAATATTCCGCCGTTGCTGGCTCATACACAGTCACACATGCTCACTCACACAT